CTTGTTTTGTTCCTGACCTTAGGGGAAAAGCTCTGTTTTTCACCATTGAGTATGATATTAGCTGTGAGTTTTTCATATAAAGGCTTTATTATGTTGAGGTATGTTCCCTCTAAATCTACTTTATTAAGGGCTTTTATCATGAATCCAGGTTGTGCTTTGTCAAATGCTTTTTCTGCATCTATTGAAATTATCATATGGTTTTTATCCTTTCTCTTATTGATGTGATGTATCACATTGATTTGCGAATACTGAACCACCTTTGCAACCTAGGAATAAATCCCACTTGATTGTGGTGAATGATTTTTTTTAATGTATTGTTGGATTCAGTCTGTTAATATTTTGTTGAAGATTTTTACATCTATGTTCATCAGAGATAATGGCCTGTAGTTCTCTTTTTTTGTTGTGTCTTTATCTTGTTTTGGTATCAGGGTAATGCTGGCCTAATAGGATGAATTTGGAAATTTTCCTTCCTCTTCTATTTTTTGGAAAAGTTTGAGAAGAATAGGTATTAACTCTTCTTTAAATGTTTAGGACACCTGGGTGGCTCAGTCAGTTAAGCATCTGCCTTCAACTCAGGTCATGATCCCAGGGTTCTGGGATAGAGTCCCGCATCAGGCTCCTTGCTCAGCGGTGAGCCTGTTTCTCCCTCTGCCTGCTGCTTCCCCTGCTTGTGTGCTCTCTTTCTCTCTCTGACAAATAAATAAATAAAAATCTTTTAAAAAAAATAAATATTTGGTAAAATTCACCTATGAAGCTATCTGGTCCTGGACTTTTGTTTGTCAGGAGTTTTTTGATTACTGATTCAATTTCTTTGTAGGTAATTGGTCTGTTCAAATTTTCTATCTCTTCCTGCTTCCTTTTTGGTAGGTTATAGGCTTCTAGGAATTCAACCATTTCTCCTGTGTTGTCCAGGAGATAGATTATTTTCTAGAGGAGACATATTTAGAAGTATACAAATTAAATATTGAAAACTAACAGAAGTGAAAAGTAGATGACATATTTATGATCAGGAATAATATATAGCATTTTTCCATTTAAAAACTACTCTGGAGATCACTTGTGGTGAGCAGAGTATAATGCACAAACTTGTCGAATCACTATGTTGTACACCTGAACCTAATATAACATTGTGTGTCAGCTACACTCAAAAAACCTCACAAAAAATAGTCTAGAGATTTGATCAAGATAGTGATAACTGCCTCCCCTTTCCACCTGTAATTCCCAGAAATGTGAGCAATTTTTCAGGAGGAAATTCATAATTTCCTCCTGAAATTATGCTAGAAAATACTTATATATGGGGAAGAATTTTCATAAAAGCTCTGAAAGAATGCAAAAAGAAGATCACCAAACCTAAAACATACAGAAGAATGTTGCCTCCAGATCCCTCTTCCCACAGAAGCAACCAGCTCAATAATATGCCCTGTATGGTTTTTCTCACTTCCCCATCTCACTCACTCTTCCCACTCACTGGTTTCTGTTTTATGAAATCACCCCCTAGATAAACTTCTTACACTCCAGTTTTTGTTTCAACGTTCTGATATCAGAGGAACTCCAACAGACAAGTTTCGGTGTTTTCCCAATATCTAGGGCCTCACTTGTAACTAACTCCTTCCCTTCCTTCCTTCCTTCCTCTCTTCCTTCTTCCTTCCTTCCTTCCTTCTTCTTTCCCTCCCTCCCTTCCTTTCTTCTGTCTCTCTCTCGCCCTCCCTCCCTCTTTCCTTCCCTCCCTCTCTCCTTCCCTCCCTCTCTCCCTGCTATCTTCCCTACCCCCCCCTTTCCCTATCTCATTCTCTCTCCATATTTCACCCAGGATATTCACCATTAAACTCAGCACCACTGCTTCAAATCTATCTTTCCAACTTCTCACTCACCCTTGGGTGATGAAACTTGGGTTCATCCTTGACCTTCTCTTACCACATTTCACATATCTATGTAATTTTAACTCCAGTCATTTGAACTTATCAAGTTAACTGTCATCCTTCCATGTACTGCCCACTGCTGTCATATTGTTTCAGGTCCTACAACCTCATGCATGGATATTCTAAAAGGTTTCAGACTGATAGCCTGAGTGAGTTCCCCTCTCTCCCCTCTATAATTTATCACCCAGTCTTCCTGAAGCTCTGATCATAGTTCTACTCAAAAGGTTTCTGTGGCATTATTGTCTATACTACAAAATAAAGCCCTCTACAACTTGATGTCAACCTACCTTTCCTCACAACTTCATTCATGTACCCCAAGAGCCATTCCAACTTAACTATACTCATCATTCACTCCAAAAGTGCCATGACTTCCCAGTTCTGTGCCTTTGCTAACTCTGTTCCCTAATCCTGGAAAGCTCAGACTCATCTTTGACCTTATTCAAAACCTACTTTGGGCTAAATATCATTTCTTCCAAGACCTTCACTGATTCTCCCAAATAGCATCATTATCCCTTTTCTGATCTCCTATAGCACTTAAAGTGTACTTTTCTTGGCATTCTTATCAGTTGTTTTAAATTAAAGTATAATTTACATTAAAATATATAAATCTTAAGCTTGATTAATTTATCACCCTTGTAATCATCCATTCGGGTCAAGATATAGAACACTTCCAGCATCCCAGAAGATTCTTTGTGCCCCCTTCCAGTCAAAATCCCCTTCAAAGGTTAATCTCTATTCTGAGATTGGGTTAGTTAATCTCAGATTAGTTTTGCCTGTTTTTGAACTTGATGTAAATGGAGTCACATAGTATGCACTCTTTTGCATCTGGCTGCTTTCACCCATCATGTCTCTGAGATTCATCCAGTCATGCATATCAATTGTATGTTCTTCTTTTATTGCAGAGTAGTATTCCATTGTAAGACTATACCACAATTTATTTAACCATTCTATTCTAAATGGACATTTCTCAGTGTTTTAGCTATTACAAATAAGGCTTCTATGGATATTTTGTACTTGTCTCTTGTTGGACAGAGGTACTCATTTTTCATCTCAGGAAGAGAATTACTGGGTCATAGGGTATTTGAATGTTTATGTTTGGAAGTACAATCAAACATTTTTCTAAAGTGATTATACCAGCAACCTAAGTTCCAGTAGCTCCACATCCTTATCAGCACTGTTATTGTCAGAGGTTTTTTTGTTTTTATTTTTTGTTTTGTTTGCCCTTCTGGTGGCTATGCTTTCATTTCTACATTAAATTACAACCACAAACAACAACATTTACAGAGCACTTAACAGACTGCAAACTTTTTAAATGTATAACATCTCAATGCATATTCCCTATAGTTCTATAAGTAAGCAGGGAGAATCCCATTATGACTCCTATTTTATAGATGAGAAAACAAAGGTTCAGAAAGGCTAAGCAGCTTGCCCAGGACTATAAAGTATGTAGCAGAGACTCTGCAGCTGGTATATCCACCAGGCTACAGGGTTTATACTTATTTAGGTACATGTTTTATTTCTGCTAGTTTACTAACAGCTCTTTAAGGTTAGGCCTTATTTTTAATTTATCTCTAATAAATGAATAAATGAACTTAAGTATAAAATTAAAATTGTCTAAACAGAAAACCTTTACAATAATTGGTTTATAATAACATAATAAATAAGCAGCATCACTTATTACCTGAATCACAAAGGAGGGTATTTCAAGAACACAGATACACAAATATCCAAACATTTAGCTCCATTTAATGACTTTCTTAAAATGTTGAAGGATTAAAAAAAATATTTTAATCTTCTCTCTGAAGGATTATTTTAAACTCATTTACTTCAACTATTAAGCACACCAAATGTATTGCAAACGTTTGGGTTCCTAAATCAACTAGATTTCAGTTTTTTATTTTGTACATAGAACACAAAAGTTGTCACCTTTATATGTGAAGGTGACATGTACATATGTGACATATACAGATACATATTTCCTTATGTATTAGCCAACAAACATGCCATGGAATAGTAAAGAAAGAAAAGAAAAGAAATACCAGTACAACTGTATACACACATGTCCTACATTCAGCAGCTTTGGGTAGTTTATTAAAAGATTATTTGATATTCTTTTATCACTGTTTCTTAGGATAGTTTGACCTCATTCAAAAGATTGGTATGAGTTGTCAGTAAATCAGTGCCTACCTGTATCATCCAGCATGTGTTTAGAAGATACATGGCAAAAGCTCAGTATTATCTGGTTACTTTTTATGCATTCACAAAAAACAGGCAACACATTTGAGCTATCTGACATCGATGGATGGCCAGACCTTGATGTACTCTCTACATTTCAACCTTTGTTCAAGAACAATGTTGCACACACTCCTAAGTTGAAAGATGTACTATGGACATCTCATAGTATCTACTTTTGTCTCTGTATGCTCATCTTCATACCATCTTATGGGTCTCTAAAACATCCAAAAATTATTACTTTTGACCTCAGGAAAATACAATTAAAAGTTTTTAAAATACATTTTTAAAAGCAGAGATTATAATTACAAATTACAGACAACTGAACTCATAAAACATATTTTGACCTTCTGTATCAGATATTTCATGTCCAAAACTGATTTGTGGTCTGAGTATTTATCTCTCTGAGGCCTAAGAATATCTTCTGCCTCTATCACTTAGCTCATGGGATGTGACACTGACACATTCTAAGGTGACCACGAAATTCATTTAGAGCATGCTAGATATTAATAGCTCAAGCTTGTTGAAAAATACAATAAATTCATAGCATGCTAAAGGTATCTGAGAATTGCTTACAATCACAGGATATGATGAGATATAAGAAAATGTGTTTAATACAAGTTTCTGTCTTATATTCAGGGCCAACTTGATTTCTAGAACAACAAAAAATGGCTATTCAAGTAAATCTATATTGAATCATTCAACAGTTTCCTCATGGAAAAGCATATTGTAGATGTTTAACTATAGTCATTTACCTATGGACTTGCTTCAATTCCACCCCCAAAAATTAATTTTTCAAGTTCAGACATGACTATCAAAATCATGTCCATCAGTAACAAATTAACATACCTTTCATGCATGTAGTCAACTCCTAGCAACAGCTGGATAAACCATTCTATTATTTGACCTTCCGTAAAGCTTTTGCCAGCTTCTTTATATTCCTGAATTTTACAGTCCAGATCCCGGCCCTGAAACACAGCAGCATAATTTTTCATATTTTTCTTTCAGTTAAGATTTTTAAGCTTTCTCTACAACGGTTAACATAGAGCAGTGACCGTTTATCACAAGAAAGTGAGGGCATACTGCCACTCTGGAACTCAGAGTCTCTCCTTGACCAACCTCTAGCCAGGCTCCTCTGAGTCCTCTTCTCGACTAGGCCTCAACCTTGGCTTATAAAGAATTGAACCAATACTAACACACTTCTTTTTTTTTTATTTTTATAATTTTTTTCCTTTAAATTTTTTTTTTTAAGATTTTACTTATTTATTCATAAGAGACAGACACAAAGAGAGAGAGAGAGAGGCAGAGGGAGAAGCAGGATCAACTCTGAGCAGGGAGCCCGATGCGGGACCTGATCCCAGGATCCTGGGATCATGACCTGAGCTGAAGGCAGACGCTTAACCATCTGAGCCACCCAGGCGCCCTCCTTTAAATTTTTTATTGTTATGTTAATCACCATACATTACATCATTAGTTTTTGATATAGTGTTCCATGATTCATTGTTTCCATATAACACCCAGTGCTCCATGCAGTACGTGCCCTCTTTAATACCCATCACCAGGCTAACCCATCCCCCCAAACCCCTCCCCTCTAGAACCCTCAGTTTGTTTTTCAGAGTCCATCGTCTCTCATGGTTTGTCTCCCCCTCCGATTTACTCCCCTTCATTCTTCCCCTTCTGCTATCTTCTTCTTTTTTTTTTTTCTTAACAGATATTGCATT